CCGCTTCCCGCTGCCGCCCTGGCGGCGTCCCTGCACCCCACCTCTCCTGCTCCTCCTTCCTGGCCCACCTGCAGGGACCCTCCCCTGGAGCACAGGCGCTGGCCTTGGGGCACCCCGGCTGCCGCCCCGGAGACTGGTGGGGGCTGGGGCAGGGGTCCTGCCTCCCTGCCGCCCAGCATGGCCCGGTCCTGGGGGCTGCTGCAGGCAGGGAGGAGCCGCCCGCACCCGGGACGGGCCTGCGGGCCTGGGGGGCTGGGCAGGGGCGCGCCCCGGCCTCTGTACCCCAAACCTGACCGTGTCCCCTTAAACCAGACGGCTCAATTCAGTGGGCAGAGCTAGGGGCGGGGCATCGGGGCGGGGCTCGGGTGGTCCTCGGACACTCCCGTGGGGGCGCCCCAGGCCCGGGGCGCAGAAGGGCCAGGCCGTCGCCTCTGCTCTGGGGCCGCCTGGGCTCCTGGCCGGGCCTGTCTGCCCCTGCAGGCGGCCGGTGCTCCCTGCCCAGGGCCTGGTCTGGCGCCCACTGTGGGCGGCAGCGCCGGGTCTCCCTGGGGTGCTCGGGGCAGTGAGGTCAAGGGGAAGCCCGGGGAGCCCGGCCTCACTGCCACCTGGGGGAGGCCTGGGCCCTAACTGGGGCGCGCCCAGCTCGTAAAGGCCGAGTTCAGAGCCTGATTAGCCTAATGAGGGTCAGCGCCCGCCGGCAGCCGGGCAGCCGGGCAGCATTCCTCCGCCGTGCCACCCCCGCTGGCAGCCCCTGCTGGCCTGCGGGCTCTCCGAAGGCAGGTGTCCTCCTGGGGTTGCAGACCCTGCCCCTGAAAGGCCCTTGGGCCAGCCGGCCAGCAGGCCTGGCCCCGGAGCGGGAAGGAGCTGGCCCAGCCCGGGAGGTGGACCCTGCCCCGGGGCCGCCGTGGGCCCGAGTGCCCTGTCCGGCCCCACAGCACTGCGGCTGAGCCCTGGCGCCCAGCAGGTGCCGGGGCCTGACAGACCCCAGGGCCACTGCTGCCGCCCGTCTGCGTGCTCGCGGGTGCTGGGGAGGG